GTTTTTCACTTATGCTTTATGTTATGTTACTCTGTAATATCGAGATTTATATAGTTTTTGAATTCTTAGATTTACGCTTCCTTGTTATCTCTTATCAGCTTTTTGCTATTATTTATTTCTTGGTCTAGTTTTAGTTATTTATTCATTCTCCTATCCTTAGGTGAGGTTTTCAATGACTTCATTTATCTCCAGTCCCTTTTCTTATCCTCTACTTTTCTCTTGGTTAATCCTTATTTTGTTGTCATTTGTTTTATTTCCTTTAGCTTTATTTATTTGTTGTTCAAATCATATCTTGATTGAATTAAAAAGTCAACACAAACAACAAACAGAACAACAAAGCCACATTAAATATTACCTCTAACTATCTGTTTGTACATATACTTATAGACATAAAGCACGCACACATCCGTTAGGCAAAAAGAAACATTCATGGTCCAAAAACATTCGCTAGCCAATGTTTTTCTTCGCCATCCCTTTCATCATAATAGTCGTAAGTCTTTTACCTACGTACTTAAAGAAAGCGGTCCAAATCTTACAAAACTGGCAATCAGTGTACTTTGCATTGTCTCCGGCTGTATCCTGGCTCCTCTGTGCTGATCGTTACATTCTCTTTTGATTCGTATATTATTTTAATGTTGATCCGCCGTGGGAGTTAAAGGACTGGGTGAGAGTTTAAGTGAACTAATGGTATCAAAACTATTAATTTAAACCCAGTTTAAAAAACTGCTTTTAAGTGGTCTTTTATTTCTGTAATTAAAGAGCAAAGATTCATAGTTTAAACATGGAAACAAATCAATGAAATCGACAGATAATAAAATGTTCTGATCTAACACAGCTTCAGTGAAAAACTGAAATTGAACCAACAACCTCAGATGTCTTCCTACGGTCAGCTAATGGTTCACAGCTCCTGTGTGGATGTTCATTATATAACGTGGCAGATTCATAGGAAATGTTTCAAATACAACTTTGTTCTCACCTGTCGTAGTCACCGTTACAGAGCGCTCGGACCGGGATGATGAATGGCTGCCACACAGGGTTGAGATTATTCTTGATCACCTCTGTTTTGTGGCAGATGGTAAACCTGGTAACACATAATAAACATAATCAGAAAATGAATTGATTTTAAGCAAAGAGACGAGTCAAAGATACACAAAGCAAACAATAGATTTTAGACCTTCTTTAATATAACTGTGGAAACCTACTACCACCAGCACACTGTCTAAGTCTGCTGTTGGCCATAGATCTACTGGCAGATCTTCAATTGCTTTGAGTAACAAGACGGAAAACACCTCTAACCTAGATACAAGTCAGAAATGTTGGCTGAACGCCTAATAGGTGGATTGCAACTAAAAACAAACTTACGTTCCATCTTCATTGCTCCGGTAGAAGACGAGGAAAGGATCCGATTTGCCAAAGAAATCCTTTTTATCCAGCTTGTTGGCACAGAACTGCATGGTGGCTATGTCCTTAAACAACAATGCTTGTTTTTAGAACCTACGCAACCTGTGGCACACTTTAGTGTTTATACTGCTCAGACTTTGTATTCATATCAGAAAACTGTTATAACTAATTAAATAACTATACTAAGTTCCCACCGGATGCGACTAAAGCAGCAGAAACATTTGGTTTACATGCAGTCAATGGTTGACAAAATGTTGTTTTTTTCAAAGCCATTTAATTCAATGAGCTTTAGGGTCTGCTCTTTGTTATAGGCATTTACAGGCTTCACCCTTTCTAAGAAAGCTCTAAAAAAGAAGACATAAAAACCTGGATGACTCTTAACTTTCTGCTTCTGAATGCAGACAAAACAGAAGTTATAGTCTTTGGACCAGAGT